CAACACTCTCCCTCTGCAGCCATGTGGGAGGGAAGTGGTCCTCTGGGTCCTGTCTCCAGCAGCTGGCTTCCTCCTCTGTCCAGCAAGCTCCTGGCACAGCCAGCCAGCAATGTCTCAAGGAACTGGACAGAGGTCTCTAGAGAGAGAAGGGGAGTGCAAGCCAGTCCCAGCCTTGGCTGCACACCGTTGTAGAGCAGGAGCTAGGAAGGACTGCTGTGGGGACACCTTCTCTCCGCTGTGCCACAATGGCCCAGGCCTGTGGGAGGCAGGCAGGAGAGTGACCCTGCAGCCAGGTGCCTGTCATGGTCAATTGTCTGGGTGTAGTCATGTTGTGTTCCCCAGAAGACACAGCAAGGGCAAAAACGGAGCCAAAGTTCTTTGCAAAGGCAAGGCCAAGCGCCAGCCAGCCTCGTCCACGCAGCATCCCGAAACGCATAGGAAACGCAGGAGGCATTGACACAGTGGATGAGGAGCCAGGCCAGATCTGACCAAGTTGAGGGACACTACTATCCTGGTTGGAGCAGTCTGAGTCCTCCTCCCCATGGGGTCTGTGCCTCAGAGCAAAACCAGAGAGACAAATGAGAGACCCAAGCCTGACAGTGACAACATTGGATTCTGCTCTGTTCTGTTTACAGTTTAGTATTTAAGGTTTTATAAATGTAAATATATTTTGTATATTTTTCTATGAGAAGCACTTCATAGGGGAAAGCACTTACGACAAGGCTTTTTACAGTGGTATTATCCTAATTTAAGAGAATCTCTTTTTAATGATTTTTTTATTTTCATAGGACGGTTCTAGGAAATACCTGGCTGGAAACAGTCTGAGCCTTTCTCCAGTGGGGGGGTTGCTTTAGTTTTGTTTTCTACTCTTGTTCTGCCTTTTTGACTTCAGTAACTGTCTCCGGGAGGGTTGACTGGACCTTAAACTGTATTTGCCCATAAGGACAGGGGCAGGAGGGTGAGCTGCCCAGCACGGTATGAGTTTGGCTCTGTGGGAGGACAGTGTGTGACTTGTGCAGAAGGTTTGATTCTGCCTTGCCTGCCCTGGTATCCTGCATGGGTTTAAAAAGGAAGAGCAAGACAGGATGAGACCTGACTCTGGATTGGCCTCCCCCTTTGCTGGGTGGCCAGTCTGAGACACACACCTCCTGCCACAGTCTGTCCTTCGAAGGCAGATGGGTTTTTCTGCACAGACGGGAAAGCAGAAAGCGCCCTCGCTTTTGCAAGCTTTCATGGTGGTTAGGTTGCAGTCGTTACAGGAGCTACTCTTCCTGGAGCTGATGTATCCGAGGGCTACTCTGAACCGGCACTGGCAGTTGGTGGGGAAGGGACCAGGAGTGCCTGCTGACTCCCTAGGTCTCTCAAAGGGGCATCCCCCATCCACACCTCTCTGGTCTTGAGGCTTCTTCCTCTGCCCTGAGAAGGAAAAGCAGCGCTTGGAGGTTTGGAACTTGCCTATTTCCTTTTGTTATTGCACTGTGTGAGGATAATTTGTTGGTAACTGTTGAAAGCAAAGTCACATTGACGCTGCATTTGTTACTGAGATGATTTGATGCACTGACAGTTTGGGAACGCACATACTTTGAGGAGCCCAGAGAGTGCCCACCCAGGGGATCTGGGCCCCATGGCCCCGGGCACAGCTGCTCTTGGCCCTTTTCCTTCCGTTTCTGACACGGGGCGGGGGCATAGCCCTCGCCGTGGCAAAGCCCCTGAATTTATCCCAGAGCTCAGCTACACTTTCTCACCCCCTGCGCTGCTGCTGCCTCCCGATTTCCTGGAGGAGGAGGACGTTCCACTGGGAAGCACTGCCCAGAGCCACGCCACATGGGGAGAAGTGGGAAGGAGGGTCGAGGGGAGCGCTGTGCCTCAGGAGTCCCCCAAGATCCAAGTGCCAGGCAACCTCCTCCCACCGGGACCAGCCGAGCCAGCGGGCTGCCCGCTTTGCTGCTATTCCCGTTGCGGCTGCCTCGGCAGGAGCCGCTGTGGCCAGTGAAACTGTCTGTACCCCAGGGAGCTGCACCCGCCGTGGCCAGCCCGGGCCCGTGGGGCAAGTGGCAGCAGGGCTGGGGCAACCAGGGCAGCTGAGCCCACCCACCCTCAGCCCGGGCTGGCCAGGAGCACCCAGCTCCCCGTGTATGAATGTATATTTTATAAGGACTGACACAGATCATGGTATCTGAAAATATTAAAAAAGGAACCTTAGGGCGTTTTTGTTTTTGTTTTTTTTTTTACAAACCGACTTTTTTTTTAAAGGAGAAGCGGGTCATTGCAAAGGGCTGGGTATCTTTTCTTTCTGGTTTTCTTTCATTTCAAAGCAATATCAAGTTCTTCAGCAGGACGGTTTGTGCAGAATCATGCCATTCACCCATACACTGGTCCACTCTCAACACTTGCAAATTTTTTTATAACTATAAATACAGTATATATAGGAACTAATATAGTAATGCACCGTGTAATGAAGCCTAGTTCAGTATCGGTTCATGGCTTTTAATTCTCTTTAACACTATAGATAAGGATTGTGTTACAGTTGCTCACGGCTCTGGGAAAGCCTTGCTGCTCCTTCCCCACCGGCAGCCAGGGCCGGAAGCTGGGAGCGGGTGGCTCTGCCTTTCCTGGCCCTTCTTGTTACAGTCAGTACTTGTACAACTTGGTTTCTTCCTTTCCTTCCTCGTTTTGGTTATGAATGTTGGGGTACCACCTACATATAGGGAAAAATGTGCTCTGTGCTTTCCTGGTATCTTTTTAACAAGGTACAGTAGCTTCGTCTATCAGCCGAGAACTATACTTGTGGTGTTTCTTTTATTGAACTTACAGTCTCTTTAGTAACTACAGATAGGTGAATAATTGTTTAAAAAAAAGCAAAAAAAAAAAAAAGCAAAAAAAAATAAGCTGTGCAAAGACAAGGTTATGTTCTAGAAATACATTTCTTGACAACTTATCATGTATAACAACTTTTTTTTCTTGTGTTCTTCCAGTCTACTGGTTGTTTGGTTTTTTGGTTCTGTTTTTTTGATTGTTTTGTTTTGTTTTGTTTTTTTTTAAAGAGGAAACGTGTCTGAAGTACATCAGTGTTAACTCCCTGCCACAGGGAAGAAGGAAATACTTTAATAGTTAAAAAAAATGCTGAAAGCTCTGCAAAAGACTGAATGTAAAAATAAAAAGTGTACATAGTTGTAAAAAAAAAAAAAAAGGAGTTTTTAAACATGTTTATTTTCTATGCACTTTTTTTTATTTAAGTGATAGTTTAATTAATAAACATGTCAAGTTTATTGCTGCAGAGGGCTCTCTCCATTTCTTCTTGAGAACTAAGGAGCTGCCACTTCTCCAGGACACTCACAAGGCATGGGAACAGCCGCTGGCCAGCACCAAGGACGGCACGGGGTTTTGAGTGAGGAGCCCTTAGCTCCAGTGTGTGTGGGTGACCTTGGCTGCTCTTGGGGGCACTGGCCAGGTGGTGGGGCCTCACACCCGGGCTGTGATAGGGCGAGACAAGGTGAAGTGGGGCCGGCAGTGTGAACATTAACTGGGCTGTGGCAGCCTGCTTGTGCCTGCAGCCTTGTCACAGGCCTCAGTGGCAGCAGCATGGCCACGGCAAACGACAGGGCCGTCCTGCAGACCATCTTTAACCCCAGCACCCCTTTTGGGGATATCCCAGGGTTGGATGAGGAAGAGGAAGATGTCCAGGATGAAGGTGAGTGATGCTGCAGCAGGTTCCTGCTGGAATTGCCAGTGGGGTCCCCATGGGGCAAGCAGGCGGGCAGGGAAGGAGGCTCTTCAGGCTGGGAGCAGTGCCTGCTTGAGGCTGGACATCAGCACTCTACCCCGTGTCTGTTCCCTTCCTGGACAGGGAGTGTAGGGTGGCAGTGGGACTGGGCCCCGTGGGTCGTCCCGGTGCCTCCCCTTCCCAGTCAAGGTCTCCCATTTATATTGCAATAGTGGAAGCTTTTCCATTGGAGCTGCTGGATCAAGTCCGGGAGCTGGAGCTGCAGGGAATTTCTGCGGCTGAGTCAGGAGACATAAGCACGGCCCTGGAGCGGTTCAGCGAGGCCATTCGCCTGCTGCCTGAGCGTGCCTCGGGCTACAATAACCGGGCCCAAGCCCTACGCCTGCGCGGGGACGTGGCAGGTGAGCAGTGCGGTCCGGGCGGTCTCCCGGTACCCCCAGCCCCCACCGATGCCTCCCCTCGTTGCCAGGCGCCCTGCAGGACCTGGACGCTGCCATACGCCTGAGCCGCGGGCGCGGGCGTGCTGCCTGCCAGAGCTTGGTGCAGCGCGGCCTCATCCACCGGCTGCAGGCGCGGGACGAGGATGCCCGGCGGGACTTGGAGCGCGCAGCGCGCTTGGGCAGCGCCTTCGCCCGACAGCAGCTCGTTCTGCTCAACCCCTACTCTGCGCTCTGCAACCAGATGCTCTCCGAGATGTTCGGTCGGCTGCGCAACCCCGATGGCACTGGAAGCGACTGAGACGGGCAGGAGATGGGCCAGGCAGCGAGTGGGTTGGGTAGAGCCGTGTTCCTGAGCTGGCCCAGGCAGACATGACCAGAAAAGGTCCACGTCAGGTGCCAGAGCTTCTGTTCCTCCTCCTGGCTAACAGCCAGGGACTGGAAAGTACCAAAGCCCCTTGCTGCGTTTGTCTCGCTCTGCTCCACCCCGAATAAATCTCCCTCTGTTCCCGGCACCTGGGCTCCGCTTGTGACATTGCAGGTATTGTGGTGTGATTCCCAAGCGTGCACAGTCCCGGTGAGATGGGTGGCCCGGTGGGTGCAAGTTTGGGTCCTTTTCCTTGAAGAGGGGAGACTAGAAGCAGGGGGACACGCACAGCCGGGCCCGGCCGGACAGCCTCCGGCCGCTCTGGGAGCGGCACCACCGGCCCCGCGGCTGCGCGCAGCAATCCCGCCCAGGGAAGGCGGGGACGGGGGCCCGGCGAGAGGGATGAGCGCTCGCAGCCGGGCTGGGGCCCGCCCCTGCGCCGCATGCGCTGCCCTGCGTGCCGGGGCCCAGGCTCAGAGCCGCACTGCAGAGTGGGCTGGACACGGCGGCAGCAGTGCTGTAGGTAAGGTGCAGCTGGGCCACATCCTCCGACCCTGCTGTGTACTGGAACGCTGGAGCCCAGCGTGGTGGACGCCCTCATGCCCCTGCTCTAGCTGCCTCTCTCGTAGCGCTGAGCACGGCTGATACAACATGGGGTGTCCCAGGGGCTGGCCGGGGACTGCCCTTTCCCTCCTGCTGCTGCTGCTACTCAGCCTCCTGGCGCTCTGCTTGGCAGGTGAGGCTGTGGTGGGTTCTGGTGCGTGACTCCGGGAGCAGGACCCCTGCCGCAGCTCTGATGTGCCGTGGGCTCTCTGGCAGCACTGGAGGAAGCGGACCCCACCACTGCCGGGCAGCCGCGAGCAGTGTGCACCCTGCAGGAGGGCGGGAGTCGTACCTTCACCTGCTGGGTTCCCCGGCCAGTCCCCGGTGCCACACTGGCCTGGTACCTCAGCGGTCAGAAACAGGAAGTCAACCTCTCGACTGCGGACACTGCCAGCATCCACACCCTCACCGGCCAGCGATCTGACCACCAGCTCAACTGCTCCCTGACCAACCCGACCTCCAGTGAGACCTACAACACCTCCATCCTTCTCAATGTGCAGTGTAAGGTCTGCGGTGCTGGCCTGCTCCAGACTGGGATGTGGGGAGGGTGTGTGGGGCTCCCATCCAGCTCGGGCAGGACCATAACCTCCATCCATCACAGCCATAGCAGGGCACCTTGTCAGTCTTGTGCAAATGAGGTAGACAAGTGCTCCTGGACCCAGGCGAGACAAATCCTGCTCCTAGCTGTGTTGCTCCCCTTATCCCTCCTGCCCATCTCACTGCCTGTTTTTTACCTAGATAAGCCAGAAATCCTGCAGGAAGGCACCCACTACCAGCAGGTCAGGGGTGCTGGCCTTCTCCTGCTGCTCTTTGTGCTGGTGCAAACCAACCCACCTGCCAGCATCACCTGGGTGAACCAGGATGGGCATGTGATGGCCAACACCTCCAAGTTTCTCCTCCTGGGTGCCACAAGCTACCCAGGGCTGGCCAACCACTCTCTCCACATCCATCTCAGCTGCACCGCTGGAAACCTCTCCATCAGTGCAGCCGAGAGTGTGGGCATCACCACTGCCTCTCTCCTGCCCACAGGTAACTGTTGAGGGATAAGCATGGTGCAATGGCCCCGTGGAAGGATGCTGAGGGGTCTGTGCTGACCGTGCAGGTCTGCTGGATGCCCGTGTGGAGCTGCCTGTCCTGGGTGTTGCCATTGGAGCAGCCCTGGCCCTAGCCGCCCTGCTCAGCCTGGGCTCCTGTGCTGCCTGCCTGGCATGCCGCTTGCCCAAGCATGTGCGAGGTCTGGGGCAAGCAGGAGGGAACAGTCCACCCAGCCAACGCTCCCATTGCAGCAGCTCTGAGGCCCCGCAGGCCCAGGGTATACATCTGCCCCGCCAAACCCGGTCCCTGCCACCCAACCTGCGCCTCAGTGACCTTGCACAGGATGAAGGTAAAACCCTGATGTGCCAGTGCAGCAAGACACGTGAGGCCACCAGGTCATGCCTGAGTGAGGGACAGATGTCCTGGCTCTCATCCCTTTGCTTCCCTGCAGCTTCCCCCAAGGATGGAGGAGCTGGTGCTAGGGGGGAAGAGAGTGCCCTGCTGGGACTGGAAAACTCCCTGGTCCTCAGCAAGCTTGGTAAGGGGAGCAGGTGGGCAAAGAGCCCCAAAAGATGTGTTGTGAGACATGGAGATCTGTGGCTGCCCTAACAGGCGATGAGTTCTTTGTCCTGCAGGTTTTGTCCAGCTCCCGATGTCTGGGCGCATCTACAAAGTGCCCAGCATGAGCAGTGATGAGATCTGGCTGTGAGCTGCAGTGTGGTGCCAGTGAGCCAGGGCTGCCCGGCACCAGGTACGTACCAGCCCCTGGAGCCGAGCAGCTGAGGGTGCCAGCAAGGCCATGATGGGAAGCAGGAGCTAACCAGCCCCAGCTCCGTGCTGTGGTATGCGATGGAGGGTTTGGGAGCTGCGCTGTCAGCCAAGGCATGGTTTTATGTAGTCCATGAACTTTACCAATATTCTGTTACAATCCAAATGCATCAAAGCTGTTAATAGCCAGGCTCTAGCACTACCATTCCTCCTGGGGTAAAGCCAAGCACCAGCTTTGCTTTAACAGGTGTGTGACATGCTGCATGATCCTCTTTGCTCCTGTCCCTGCTGCTGTGGCAGACGGGTGGGAGGTCAGCAGGGCAGGGGCTTGGGAGAGCCGTCCCAACAGCAATAAACTGAATTCAAGCATCTGTGTGGTGCCGCACAGGTTATTTCTGACTGGCAGGAGCTAAGGGACTGTTCTCAACAAGAAAGGGGATTCAAAAATAAGGAGCAGAGGAGGTTCAAGATCTCCAGGTCAGAGCTTGGAACACCCTGAGCAGATATGAGTGTTGTGTCTGAGTGTGGAATTTATTCCTGTTGCTCCAGCCCTTGTAGCAGGTGCTCAAGGAGCCTCTGCTCTGCAGCACCTGTGGCACAGAAAGTCTGACACAGGGAAAAGCTGGTTTAATGCTGAACTCCTTGGGAACAAGTCAAAAATTGAGCCAGTATGTAGCTTCTGCAACAAATATGGTGAGTCAAGTCCTACTCCCTAACACAGAACAGTTCAGCAATGTTTCTAAGACCAGAGAGGCTTCTGATTTGCTGTGTGGTATCTCCCAACCTGCTCTGGGTCCATGTCAGTGTCCAGCAGCAGATGGTGATCCAGGAGATGAGGCTTTAATGTGAAGCATCAATTAAAGCTCAACACCTCTGACTCTGCTGCTTGTGAGGGTGGGTTGGATGGTGGGCTCCTGCCCTTCTGCCCATCAGCCAGGGGCTTGAAGTGCTGCAGGGAAAAGAACATGCTCATGCAAAGGTTTGACTCCCACTGCTCAGAGCACACACATGAATCTGAATGTGCTGGCCACACTGGCTCTGGGTTGTGTGCTCAGCAGTCAGCCCAAGAAGATGCATTCTGGCTTGCATTGGCCTGTTGAACAACATGGCACCTCAGCCCAGAGCGCAGCCTAGCTCCCTGTGTCAGGCAGAGGCACCAGGGAGAAGAGCAGCTAAGAACGTGTTCTCTGGGGCTCACCAGCCCTTTGCACACTCCCGTTGTCACCACAAAGCTGAATGTGAAGGGACCAGCTGTGTAGTGCTGTTAGCTGGACAAGCAGCACCTGGGTGGAGCCACATACCTGTGAGTTCTTGAACTCCAAGAACAGGGAGAAGAGGACATGCAGAGGGTGGATCCGGCTCTTGTAGACAGGGATGTCCAGAATGGCTGCGGGTGAGATCAGAAGCATGTGAGGGCACCTGGTCTGTACTGCCCCACACAGAGCATTGTCACGAAGGGCTGAGCTCCCCACTGCCCACCATCACCTGGGGCTCCACGCACCAAAGACTGCAGACCCCTGCAGTACAAGAGCCCACCTCCCACTGAAGCAGCAGGGAATGATCCTGACTGTTCAGGGCTGAGCCTGCAGCTAAAACTCTCTCAGTGAGAGTGCCAGGCCAGCATCACATTGAGTCAGCAGCACAGCCTCCCCAGCTCACCACAGATCATGTCGATGTATTCGGCAAGGTCACAGCTCATCTCTGCGGTCGGAAGACCCACCTGGAACAAACAGGGCTGTCAGATCTGCTCCCAGACCACAGGAGCCTTGGAGCATACAGAGGCCACTGGGACAGCAACTGGGAATTCCAGTGTTGGGCTGCTCCTCAACTTCTGCCAAGGGCAGAGTCGTGAGGAGGAGCAAGCCCAAGAGGACTGGGCTGTGGGATGGAGCAGGCACACAGCTTTCATGGCAGATGGTTTCTAAGACCATGCATTGAGCTAACAACTGGTCACCCAGTTGTTACAATATACCTTTCCCAGGAGCTCCTCAAATTCTGGTGACCATTCCTGCATCAGGGTCTCGATGTCAGGCATTGGCCTGCCAGGGAAGAGAAGAACATCAGCTTCAGGATCACACACAACCTTCCACTGCTACCATCAGGGCTCACCTGGAGTAATGGACTGTGGCAGGAGGTTTGCAGCGATGCAGTTCAGTAATACTTTCAATCCAGCTCTCAATGGCTTTGGGGTTCTTTTCTGCATTCTCCAAACTCTTCACTTTTATCTGCTGCTAAAACATAAATATAAACCTGGAAGTGTTTCATCGTGTTTTGGGGCTTTTTGGGAAAGCTACATCCACTCCTGGTGAACCAGGCCTTCTCTTTCCCAGCTACACTTCACCAACAGATTTCTGCAGGCAAAATGCCAACTAAAACTGGGTATGAACAACCAAAAGGAAATAAAGCATCATCTGAAGTGAACAAACCCAGAGTTTGTATCAAGATTTGACTGAAGCAAGGCTCAGATCCACTGCAGTTTAAAACTATGGATTAAAGCAAAAGGTCTGGTTTTGCTGCTTTTAAAGTCAAGTTCTCAGTTGTAAGACTGCTATGGTTTTACTATAGTAAGTGTGTAGCAAGTGACCTCCCTCTCCCTGACTCACTGTGATGTTGTGCTGCTTGGAGTTCTCTGTCAGCCAAAGGGAAAGCACGGTGGGATCTGACTGCTTGGTTGAGGGCTCATCCAGGACCAGCAGGCCAAGGTTGTCAGGCTTGCCATCGGGACGAGGAACCTGCAGGAGAACAGAGCCCTTTTCTCTGTGGAGTCCAGGGCAGGTTTGCACAGTGCCTTCCCGTGGGCTCTCTCAGATGCGCATTCTAAGCGTGGTGCTGCCTGAAAAGCAGTGTTGGAGAAGGAAAAATCCAGGCTTTGCCTCAAGTTACCTAAGTGCTGTTTGAGAGGTGACCAAACTATCAGTGTAGTTTTCCAGCTCTCCAGCCATCATGTCTGACAGAGCAGGGACAGACCAGACCCCAGGCTGTACAGCCTGGCTGCCTAGGTGCTCTGACCCTGCGTTCCGTCTCAGTCTGTGGGGCAGAACAGAGAGAGGAACCTGAAGAAACTGTACCTTTAGGAATGCATCAATATCTCCAACAGCAGGAATAAAGTCTGGAATAAAAGGCTGCAGCTTGTGCTCAATCTCTATTGTTTTGGGAGTGTACCTGGAAAAAAACACCACCACAGCATGGGTGACTAGAAACTGTGCTGCAATAATTGACACAAAAGAAAGCCATGAGCAGGCTAAGATTCTTCCATTCACCTCTTGATGTATTCAAAGAGATCTCTGATTTCAGAAGACACTTGCAGGTAGTCAAAATCTGCTGGATTGAAGTCACTTAAAAAAGGAAGAGAGTAGAGGGAAAAGATTAACTTGTGGCAAGTTCTGTACGACAGAAACCAGGCCCCAGTTGGGGCAGACAAATGTGGGAAGCTGAACCACCAGGCAGTAAGCCCTCTCTGGAAAACACTTCTTGCACAGGGAAAGCATTATTTGGCCTCGTTTTGCTTTGGACCTGCTTACCAAGAAAAGCACCTGAGTGGTGGACATCTGAGATCATTCAGTCCCACACAGGGCTGTCAAAAGGGGGCTAAGTTCTCTGCACAAAGGCAGCAATAGAACAGCAATTAGGGGGTCAGCAATAGTTTTGAAGTTCAAAACTATGGAGAAGAATTATGAGGATCTGAGTGACATGTTGGAGATGGTCCTTCCCTTTTCTGGACTTCTCCTGCCAGCCAGGCCTGGCTTAAACTTTGGATCATTCCCGCTGTACCTCTGCTGGGCACAGCAAACAAGCCCGGGACTGGTTCACCCCCCGGAGGAGCCACCACCCTGGAGCATCAGGGACGAGGAAACAGGAGTTGCCCGTCCCGATGCCCACGACTCCGCTCACCCTCGTGGGTCCAGGGGAAAGCAGTGGAGCCGACAGGGCCCGAAAGGCACCCAGCAGCGTTAGCCCCTGTCCCTCTGGCCAGGAACACCGCTCACCCCTCCAACGCGGCCCCCTGCTCCTCCGAGTCCTCCTCCGAGTCGCTCTCCGAAGAATCTTCCTCCGAGTCCTCATCGTCCTCGTCGTCATCCTCGCTGAAGGTGGCTGGGCCGGGGAGGTGTGCCGCTGCCTCCTCCTGGACGAGAGAACCGGGTGTCACGGCACATCACCGACTCTCACCGGGCCGTTCCCCGCTCCCGCTGCGCTCGTACCTTCCCTCCGCTGCCCCGATCGCCGCTCCCGCACTCGGCCGCTCCGACAGACACCCCGGGCCGACGGGAGTCCCGCAGGCGGCCCGCGCCCCCCGCCCGAGGCGAGCGGGCTCCGGGGTCGGTCTCAGGCAGCTCCAGGCTCTCGTCGTACGGCTGGTTCTCCACCGGGCGGGGCTGCGCCGAGAGGTAAAGTCAGGGGCGGCGCGGCCCGGAACGGCGCCCACATCCAACGCCCGCCCGCCGCGTCCTGCCGCTCTGTGTCCCGTGCCTGACCTCCGCCCGCTCCCCCGTGTCCCTTTCTGTCCCGCCGTATCCCCGGTGCCCCACCTCCGCCCGTCCCGCTTCCCGCCGCGCCGCCGCCGCCGTCCCCGTCGCCATGGCGACCCCGCCCGAGCGGCCCGGCTTCGCACGCCCCCTGGCGGCTGGGGGGTGCCACCTCCCGGCCCGCCCCGGCCCGCCCCCCCGTGACGCTATTTCCGGGTGCGGACGTGGCGCGTCGCCGCCATCTTGCGGGGCCGCCCGGGAACCGGAGAGAGCGGAGGGCCCGAGCGCGGATCCCGCCGCCGCCTCCGCCGCCGCTATGGTAAGGGAAGGACGTATCCGCTGCGGGTAGCGCGGGGCTCTGGGCAGGCCTCGGGGCAGCCCTTCGGCCCGCCACGCCCGCCCGGCCTGTGCGCAGGCCGGTGCTGGAGCCCGCGGCCTGGTGGGACGGACCGCGGCGCTGCCGCCTCGGGTCGGGCCGGGGCCCTTGGGGGCGGCGGGGACGTTTTCTCTGGAGCCACGGTGGCGCCTCAGCACGGCCTGCTCTAAAGGGCATTCGGGGGCTCAGGTGTATCCGGGCGAGTGATGCCTGCCCGCTCCCCCGTGCGACTCTGTCTCAGGGTTGGTCCGGCTCATTTTGTCCATCTCGGCGGTGTTTGGGTCAGCACAGACCCGCACACGGCTCCGGCAGAGCTAAACTGTGCCCGAGGTGCGGCAGGGATCAGCGCTGCCACGTTCGAGGGTTTTGGATACTTTCTGTCCATAATAGCACTTGCGGATTTTTAAAGATTTGAAGTGCAGAACAAAATTATCCTGATAAAGGTAATTGACGTCTTTGAGAGAGAATTATAGGGAGGAAGTCTGGGTACACTAGGAGATGGAGAAAGTGCAGCTGGTGAGTGCCTTGCTGCCTTGTCGCTGTGATAACGCCTGCGAGCTGTCCGGGCGTCATCCAGGGACTGTGAGTGATAAGCAGGGCTTCGTTAACCTGGCTGTGCTGTGCGTGTGGCACTGGAGAGAGATGTTCCGTTTCACAGCGTTCCTGTGTGTAGTTGTTAGCTGGGACAGCCTGATAGAAAAGTCGATAACCTGGAGTCTCCCCTGATGCTCCCAGGGGTTGTTACACCTCGGCCTGTGTGAAATCGGGAATGGTGTTTGCCTGACAGAAGCAGGGAGACCTCTCAGGATTATGTTGGGACAGAATGTGAAACAGAGAGAGAGAGCAAAAGCAGAGATGTCTCTGATGTGGACGTAGTTCCTTTCCTTGTCACAGAGGAAGACTTAGGCTCTTGTTTGAGGAAGGGTGTGCAGGTGAAGTGTGGTGGGACGAGATGCTTTCCGTGAGCACGCAGCGGGAGGCCCTGCTCATGTGCTGCTCTCCTCCAGGTGCTGTTGGCAGCCGCCGTGTGCACAAAGGCAGGGAAGGCCATCGTGTCCCGGCAGTTTGTGGAGATGACTCGCACCCGCATCGAGGGGTTGCTGGCAGCATTCCCAAAACTGATGAACACAGGGAAGCAGCACACATTTGTGGAGACAGAGAGCGTGCGGTACGTCTACCAGCCCATGGAGAAGCTCTACATGGTGCTGATTACCACCAAAAACAGCAACATCCTGGAGGACCTGGAAACACTCCGACTCTTCTCTAGAGTGGTAAGGACTCATCACTCAGTAACATGCCTATAGCCCAGAACAGTGCTGTTGTGAGAGATCTGTTTCTGAACTGGTGCAGGAGCACTGCATGTCTCCGCTTGGTTGGTCTGTGTTCCAGAGCTTCCCTTCCTGACTGGATAGAAAGCTCTGAGCTTTTGGTGGTAGTTTTGAACTCCACATAAAAAAATCGTTAGTCATACTTTACCTGGTGAGACCAAAGGGCTGACTGTAATTTAGCATTAGGTATTCTTTGTACAGTGTGTGGTTGTTACAAGTGCAGCGCTGCTCTGCAGGGATCTTGAAGCAGCAAGTTTGTCTTCACACAACCAAAGGATTTTCTGGAAATTCACTGGCCCCAGTATGCAGTTGGGTTCCTTCGAGTTAGTGTTTTAAGGAAGCTGAGAGGTTCTATAAGGATTTTAGTGTAGAGAAACTAACAATGGCAAAACTTCATCTTGTTTATTGACAGTGTAATGGTACGAAGAGCAGTGTAAAGGTGTGCTGGGCTTGGGAGGGTCTGGCACAGTTGCGACCTCTGGGATGGTAGAAATAAAGTGTTTGCACAGTGCTGTTTGTGGGTACTCCTTTAAAATGTTCTCCCCTTCTAGATCCCTGAATATTGTCGAGCTCTGGAAGAGAATGAGATCTCAGAGCACTGCTTTGACCTAATCTTTGCCTTTGATGAAATTGTCGCCCTGGGCTACCGCGAGAATGTAAATCTGGCGCAAATTCGGACCTTCACAGAGATGGACTCACATGAGGAAAAGGTGTTTCGGGCAGTCAGAGAGGTGAGCAGGGACACCTGCAATCTTGACACAAGGTGCCCTGTCTGGGAAACGCTACCTTTGCTATACAGAGGTTTTCCTCCACTTTGGTGGGGCCATGCAATTATTTAGCTTTTCTGAGGGCTAAATGCCCATGTCTTGTTTATTTTTTCTTGGCCAGGGGTTTTTGGGCAACTGCACTTAGTTCCTGTGCAGGACAGGGCTGAGTTTGCAGAGCTCCATCAGCCTCTTATCTTTTCCTTCAGACACAGGAACGTGAAGCAAAAGCTGAGATGCGCCGTAAAGCGAAGGAGTTGCAGCAGGCCAGGAGGGATGCAGAGAGACATGGCAAGAAGGCACCAGGTTTTGGGGGCTTTGGCAGCTCGGCCGTGTCTGGAGGCGTGACAGCAATGATCACAGAGACCATCATTGAGACTGAGAAGCCCAAAGTGGCACCAGCGCCAGCCAGGTAGGGGGTACAGCAGGTGGCAGATGTTGGAGTCAATGTTGGCTCAAACCCCAAAGGGTCTATCAGGAGTTCCTCATCTGTGTAAATATTGAGGACCATTTGTGCCACATACCACAGTAGCACCCCATTGTCTCTTCGAATTCTTGGATGAACAATGGGCTTTCATTTTGTGTGAGAAAAAGAGGTCCCAGTTCCTCGTAATACATGGAACCACACCCAAATCTAAATTATAACTTGGTGACCTACACGAGGTGATCAGTTTCACATGTGTTCTCCCCCAAAAAGGCTGCCGAGTTGAATGCTGTGGTGTTGGGTTGGTCAAGTTACAGCATTTGAAGATAATAATCCAGGAAGGGGGAACCCATTGCTGTCAGCTGACCTTGAGATTATTACACGTTTTATTTAGGCCTTCAGGTCCCAGTAAAGCCTTGAAACTCGGTGCTAAAGGGAAGGAAGTGGACAACTTCGTGGACAAGCTGAAATCAGAAGGAGAAAATATCATTACTTCTGTAGGCAAGCGCTCTGCAGAAGCAGCCAAAGTTCTCACTCCTCCCATTAACATGGAGAGGTGAGTGCTGCCCTTGCTTTGGAAGCAGACTTCTCACAGCTCTCCCTGTGTGTGGTCTTGGGAGAGAGCTTCCCTGCCCTTCTTCAGTTTTTTCCTGTGTTTCTTACCTTTTAATTATAAAAGATGGACAGAATGTGGGAAAGCATGTCAGTAAAAAAGCAGATAGCTAGTTTGGTTAGGCATCCTCTTAACTAAAATGGGCTGTCCGTCCATTGTTGAGCTGAGGTTGGGAATTTTCCTGTGCTTTTTTTCCCTGCACCATTTTCCCTGTTTCCCAGCCTTGTTGCTCCTCAATATGGCAGAGCTCACGGTTCGTTTTGCATGCAGCAATTCAGAACCTTTTAGTGCCCTGAGCTGGGCTGTGGTCTGTCAGATGTGATTTTATGACCAGGGTGTCAAGATGCTGCATCACTGCCATTTAACTGGGCTCCCATCCCTTGCAGACCCATATGCATGGATTCTCCTGCCCCTGAGTTCACTGTCAGAGCAGTATTAGCCCTCACTGTAGTAGCTGTGCTGTTGTTTGGGAGCCCCTGCTCAGTACATACAGCCTGTCTTTACTGAGCAATGATCTCTTTGCTGTCTGGGTGATACTGAATGTAGGACTTGAGCTTTTTTCTTCTATCTGTCTAGCGTGCACATGAAAATAGAGGAGAAAATCTCCTTGACTTGTGGCCGTGATGGAGGGTTGCAGAACATGGAGCTTCATGGCATGATCATGCTGCACATCTCTGATGAAAAGTTTGCACGTATTCGCCTGCATGTAGAAAATGAAGACAAGAGGGGAGTGCAGCTACAGGTAAAGCCTGTTTGGAGTCCCATGCTGTTGAACATGTTTTTGCTGCTTTCCAGGGGCAAAATAGTGGAAATACTCAAGTATGTTGCTGTCCTGTGTTCTCATCCAAGCCTTCTCAACAAATGCATTGGAAATGGGAGTAGTCAGTGCAGGTGCTAGCAGAAGTGCAGGGCCAGTCATGCTCAAGGGATTGAAGTTCACTGGAGAAATGTAATCTTGGTTGCCATTCTGCCCTTGGAGCCTTATCTGCCGAGCAGTGCACCTTGGTGTGCCAGGTGACCTCACTTGGACTCTGCAGCAGCCTGGTGTGTTGCTCAGTGCCTTTTGTGTGATGTCAGCTGCAGCTGTGGAGTGGAAATGGGATAACAAACTTCCTGCGCCAATGGAGAATGAACTTATTCTCTTGGAAGCTGTTTCCTTCTGAGGTTGCTTGTTCTGTCACTGCTCTACCTGGGATGATTGCTGGAGCACTTTGATGGTAGTCAGCAGTTGCAGCTCAGAAGGTTCTTGGGAGATCTCTCCTTTTCTCCCTCTTCATGTGACCTTACTGATCCCTGGAGGTGGTGCTGCTTAGACACACTCCGGCTCACTCCTCACTAGGGACTCATCTGTACATCGTCTCTGTCTGTAAGTCCACTTCCTTCCAGGACATCCCATGAGTGAACTGCTAACAGCCTTCCCACAGGTAGTGCTTCAGGTGGAAGATGAGACCAAACCCTTTGCTGATTCCTGTCTTTCTAGAGTAACTTGAACAGTGACTTGAAAAAATCCTCTGCTTCTAAAAAGCTGCTCACACTTGAGGTTGCGAGGAGTGTGTTTAAATGGAGTTTGGCCACTGACCCATAATGTGCATTAAGATTGCTGAGGGGAGACAGTGGTGTTACGGTGTTTTTCCCAACAGCATTAGATTAATTTTTCTTGAAATGCCTGCTGTAAACATTCAGGATGGTCTTTGATTTTAGTTGTTCTTTAGATATCAGCCTGCATCACTTGAGTCTCTAGTGCAGGTGCACATAAGAAAGACAATGGTGAGGATACTTCTTGTCAGATTAGCATTTCCTGGAAGGAGTCCCAGGTTGATAACCAGTTGTGCTCCAGATGGGCTTCTGAGCCAGGAGGAAACCTGATGTGTGATTTGTCAAAGCAAACACTGGAATGTGTAGGCCTATCTTAGTAGAAGCTGCATTACCTATGGTTCTATCCTTGGGCTTAGACCTACAGTCTGGGCACGTGTTCCTCTTTCAGACTCACCCAAATGTGGACAAGAAGCTCTTCACTACAGAGTCACAGATTGGTTTGAAGAACCCAGAGAAGTCATTCCCTATTAACAGTGACGTGGGCGTGCTGAAGTGGAGGTTGCAGACTACAGAAGAGTCCTTCATTCCATTGACAAGTGAGTGCAAGTCTGGGGGCTTGGGCAGGAGAAGCTGGTGGTTGTCCATGAGCTGCTGGTAGCCACCTTGCAGCAGCTGTGCTGCCTGGAGCCTGCCATGTTGTGAGACCTTGGAGATACTATGTGTGTCCATTGGATAGTGCTTGTCCTTGGCAGTGTGTATTTTCTGTAACACCTCAAGGAAAATAGAGAGCTATTAAAGTCAGCTTGAGGGTGACTTTGTTTTGAAGTGCATCATCTTGTGAAAGCCTGTTCCACATGAAAGGCCTGTGTGGTTCACATACTGTCTCTGTTTCTTCAGTTAACTGCTGGCCATCAGAGAGTGGGAACAGTTGCGATGTTAACATTGAATATGAGTTGCAAGAGGAGAGCCTAGAGCTGAATGATGTGATCATTACCATCCCTTTGCCGTAAGTAATACTCCTTATCCATGCAGCACTAAGTCCCATCACCTCCTTCCACTCCCTGTTTTATGGATCTGGCCAAGCCAACAGGTGTTAGAGGCGTTTCCTTAGCTCTGTGCAGGGAAGTTATTGTCACTTGTCATTGCCTGCTCTAGGTCTGGTGTTGGCGCCCCAGTGATTGGGGAGATTGATGGTGAATATCGCCACGACAGCCGGAGAAACCTCCTTGAGTGGTGCCTGCCGGTGATAGATGCCAAAAACAAGAGTGGTAGCCTGGAGTTCAGCATAGCAGGGCAGCCAAATGACTTCTTCCCAGTGCACGTCTCCTTCATCTCCAAAAAGAACTATTGCAACATACAGGTATGGTCACTGCTGATGCTCCACAGGTGGGATGTCGCCTTTGCTTCAGTTCCCCAGCTGGCTAACACTGGCCATGCTGCAGCTGCACCGTGCTGTCCCACTGGCCATGGCTAAAGGGTTGGCATTAACCTGCTTCGAAACAGCTGGATTCAGAAGCAGACAGCACTGGCACCTGACACTTCATGGAGTTTGCCTGAAGTTTCAGTTGTGTCTTGAAGTCTCTGAGTAATCATTAATTCCCCTCAGACTTTGTCGGAAAATCCATTGGCCTTGTAGCAAAAACACTGCTTGGCACACACCTGTCTGTCTCCACTGAGGTGTAGCCAGCGGCTGCCACTTTGGTCCTCAGTGGAGACACAGTTACCACAGAAAATCATTCTCCTCTTACAGGTTTTCTGGGAGCAAAGATTTCTGTTTCAGGGCTGAGTTGTGGTTTAAAAGCAGCAGATCTATTGTGCTGCTGTGGCCATCGTGGTGTTGGGAAGCATAGCATCGCTGCAGTAAGGGAGTGCTCTTCAATGCTGAGCTAACATTGCCTGTTGTTTCCACAGGTTACCAAAGTGACCCAGGTAGACGGGAACAGCCCTGTAAGGTTTTCCACTGAAACCACCTTCCTGGTGGACAAGTACGAAATCCTGTAATGCTAGACATGGTGACGCGCAATGGAAGAAATTTTTAAATTAAAAAAACACGAGGCCGACGTTTATTCTGAATGTTGGGAACGCCACAGCCCCCTCTGCTAAGACATGTGGCTCTGTCTGCCATCTACAGTGCTCCTGGGTCACAGACATTTTTTGCAGAGAAGACGTGCTCGTGGGGAGAAAGGCCACTAATTTCTTTGGCAGATTTTTACCGACTGGCAAAAAAGCGAGATCTCTGCAAAGAGCCCGACTTTGACATGCTGCCCTCCCTCCTCCCCCCGAGATGCTCGGAGCTCAGCCCAGAGCTGACCAGACATCATTCTCTTCTCTCCTGAAGCATCACGTGCTGTTCCGTTGTTGGTGCTGCCATTTTAATTTCTCCTTGGCCTCTGGTTCTCCTGTGTGGGGCCACCTTCTGGTCCTGACCCTTCCATCTGGTGGAAGCTGAGCAAGCTGACCTTGGCCTCAGAGGTGTGGGGGTGGGTCATGGTGGGGGAATGGGGTGGGGAAGAGGGACCCAGGGGTTCAGTCCTTTTGCTCCACACAGTTATTGCAGTTCCTCCAACTCTGCTGTGTGTGGCAATGGCCCGGCTCCAGGTGGTCTGGTTCCTGCTGCAGCAGGGAGAGCGTCCAAAGGGGGACTGTGTCCTCTCTGTCTTCCACAGCTGTTCTCAGGCCAGGCTTTGGAGGAAGTTTAGTTAGGTTAGAACCAGCTGTATATGCTCTGCAAGGCTGTTTTGGTGTCTAGGGAGGCTGAGGGCTTTTCCTGCCTGGGTGAAAGGAGCTGTGGGGCCTGGTTGACTTGGCGTGCATGTCTCAAACCAGTATTGGTTCAGCACTGGCAGGTGTGGGAGAAGGAAATGCTGGTTACCAGCTAATGTGGCGGCTGATCTGAGCCATTTCTGCTACGACAGCCTCACTAGCATTATTTGCCTCATCTCAAGAGACCTGTGCTCCCCTCACAACTCATCTCACCTGCTTGGCTGGGGCCTGTCGTGAGTGTTGCCCGCCCCTGGGCACACACCTCACCTCTGCAGCTAGAGGGCCCAAGTGCAGGTGGAAGGCAATGGCCCTAAAAGTGCGTGTACTGTGCTCTGTGAGAGACAGCCAGCCTGTCATGGGCCCCTGGGGTCCTCTGCCAAAGAAGTTCGTGGTCTCTCCTCTGCTGGCAGCACCTGAGAGGAAATCAACCCTGGTCCTGTCCTGAGAGGGTAAGTGCTCTCCACTAGCAAAGTAGTCAATGAATCCCATTAACCCAGTCCTGTTCCAGAGCTGCTTGTCTGTATGATTTTTAAAATGGAGTCAAAGTTAGTTCAAGCATCCCAGGAGGTTGTTTTTTTTCTTACATTCATTGGAGGGTGATATTTAAACCGAGCCGAGGTCCCCACTTTTTGTAACCCTGTATGATCCTGGCCTAGGGAATAGAGCACATTCCAGTGTACACAGAGAATTCTGAGTCTTTAATCAAATAAAGTACTGTTAAAGGAGCTGGCTGGGGGTCGTGAGGTCCTTCCGGAGCCGGTCAGCCCCGGCCAGGCGGGGGCGGGACGTGCTGACACCGCCTGGGGCGGGGACACGCCGAGGCACTCGGTGGTGGACAGAGGAGCGGCGGAGGAGCCCGGGAAGTGCTGTCGGACTGGAGTGGTGAAGGTGAGAGACTCTGGAATGGGGTGGGACCGCTGGCATGGGGTAGGACCCCCCCACTTTGTGCCCAGACGACCACTGCCGTTGGGAAGCCTGTGGGGCTGGGGCCACATCCTATGACAAAAGGACTCTAGTGCTTCAGGGGCAGCTTTGGGATGTGGTGGGGGCAAGAGAAGGGGGCTTAGTTGCCTTGGCCCATGTCGGGGCCAGATGTGGGACATGCTGGGGCTTCCTGGTCCCTGGAGTGCTCTGCGAGGGGTGCAAGGAAGGAGCTGCAGACAGGGAAGTAGGAAAAACATGATCAGCCATAAAACCAATCATTGCACAATGTTTTGGTGGTGTGTGGGTGGGCTGGGAGCTGGTTCCAGGATCCAGTGGTCCGGGTCAGTGATGGCTTTGCTCGTGTGGTAGCCTCGAGAGAACTCGGTGTTGGAAGGCAGCCAGACAAGGTTTTCCCATCCCCAAATCTTGAAGCTCATGGGCAGTCACAGGAGGACTGTGTTATTTCTTGGCCCATGGCCACCACTGCTGTCTCTGACACCTCTTGGGGAGCCTGGGAACGGTACTGGCCTGGCTGGATTCTGCTCCATGGCTGGACCTTGTTTACTCCAGCTTCCTGCCCCGCTCCTGCCACAGCTCCTTCAGCTGCTGTCAGCCAGAGGAATCTGGCAGTCCCAGAAGGTCCAGCTGCTGTGCTGAAGGGCCACTATCTCTCCCCCTCTTCCAGCTGCCCTGCAAGCCCTCAGCCCTCTCTGAGCACTAGGCAGCACTAGGCTGAGCACCATAGGCAGTAGCAAGGCAGCACAGCCAGGTACTTTTTGGTAACTTCTTGCCTTGTTGCACTTGCTGCTGTGTGATGCCGTAGGTTGGTACATGTGGGGCAGCAGGGGCAGGGTGCCATGCAGGGAGATAGAACTACAGGATTCCATGGCAAGGGATCCTTGCTGGCAGCCAGGAAGAGGAGAGTGATCAATGCCTGATTTGGAGATTTACCTACTGCTCTCCCAGCAAAGGGCTGGGTGATGGGTTCATGCCAGGGGTTAGATTCGAGACCCACCAAACTCATCCTGTGTCACAGTCCCCAAGATGTCGTCAACGGGAGCTGCAGATACTCTTTGTAGAGCTGAACCTCTGGCCTGCAGGTGAGAAATTGTCATTTTGATACGAGAGCATTTTGAGGAGGAGCTCTCCATTGTGCAGTCTTGCGAGGGGTCTGGATCCTTGTGTCTCTGGGCTGTGGTGTCCAGAGGCACTTGCAGGTGCTGGGGTCAGTGCTTGAGCTGCAGCAGTGATTGCGTCTATGTATGGCTCACCGGCCCTTGGTGCTGGCTCATCTCGGGGTGGGTTGGGTGCAGTAGGAGTGGCTGCACACCCTCCCCGACCTGAGCACATGCTGAGCATCCATCGGTCTGTGGAGACCCCGAAGCGTGATGCCGGCAGGGCCTCGGCCGGAGCACAGCTGGGGCTGCAGGGGTGCAGGAGCACTTTGCCGGAGGATGAAATCAGCGGGTGTGGCCAGGATTCCTCTGCTCCCGCCGGAGCTGTCTGGTGGCTGATTTATGATGGTGTTATTGCCAGGATCATGGCGTTGCCTCAGCAACCACAACGCAGCCCCCACCATCTCTCGCCTGGGTGGGATGGGGCTGGCTGGGTCTCCCCCATACAGTTGTTAGCCCCAGGCCGGGAGGCAGCAGCGAGGAGCAGTCTCCTCACTTGCCTCTGGCTTTGTGCAGGAGACAGGCTCCCCCTTCCCAGCGGCCCGGCGGAAGAGACAGTTGTTTACCAGGGCAGAGGGTGTGGGAAGGAGTGAGCACACCCGAAGTGCATTAGCAGATGGGGAGCAAACAGGCAGCCAAGTTGGCTGGAGGCTGCGATGCTCCGCTGTGTGTGCACCCGTTAGCTCGGCCACTCAGGCTTCCTTCCGTGACTCATCCAGCCAGCCACAAGTGGGGATGAGAGGCCGTGCGAGGGGGTGCCATGCACCCGCCTCTGCCATGCTCTTGCTTCGTCCCAGCAAGCCTGGTACTGCATGGCATGGCCTGGCAGTCTGTGCTCCTTCATGAGCACGGGCTGAATACCCATGCCCTGACCATGTCCTGGCCAGCGGCACAGAATGCAGCTCTGGGGTCTGCTCATATCTGATGTGGCGTGAGTCAGAATGTGCTGTGCCCAGACTGGGTCTGGGTGGGCAACAGCAGGTCAGGTAGGAGTGGACCCGCAGAGCACCTCTGCCCGTACGGGCTTGGGTGATTATATGAATCACCCAATATGAATGAATTATGTGTGCATATATGTGAATATGCAGGCCGATTGCAGACTGTGGGCAGTGCCACACAGGGGCTTCCCAGGAGCACGGTGGGGCAGCATGTCCGTGTGCAGCCTGAGCTGCGTTAGTAGGGCCCCTGCATCGGTGGGGCTGGGCATCTTCCCAGGTGAGGCTTTTGGCTGTGCCAGGTAAAGAAAGGGGCTTTTGTCTTCCAGGAAGCCAGGGCTGAGTAGGCAGCCCTGCGCGGGGTGCACGAGGACCGTGGGCTGTTCGGTGGTAACCGAGCCCGACCCCTTGGCATTTGCTGCCTTCACCGCTTCCCACGGCGGGAACAAGCGGCGCGTTCTGCAGCCGGCGGCGGGAGAAGAAAGGCCGCCTTGTCTGTCCTAGCAGTGGGGCGCCGGCTGGGGCGGCCACGCTCCCGCCCCGCATTCCTGCACTAGAGCCGGCTGGAGAGGGGCTGACGGCAGGCGTTCCCTGTGTGTTGATGAGACAGGTGAGGGGCTCTGTTTGAGGGCAGTGTTGCGGGACTGGGGACATTGGGAAGTGGTGGGATGCCAGGGTCACCCTCCAGGTCATGGGCAGGTAGGGCTGCTTGTGAAGTGGGGGGGTGGTGGTTGGATAGTTTGGGCAGAATCGGAGACAATCCCCCAAGTGGCCAGGATGGGGGTCCTCCATGGTTCTCACCAGGTCTCACCAGTACAGCCGTGCTGGGAAGGAGTGAGTTAACAGCGGCGCAAGATCCCACCCTGGCCCCGCTCCCTTCCTATAGAGCAGCCTGGCCCCTCCTGGCTTTTCCTTCTTCCTGCACATTGTGACGGGACGTAGGTGTAAGTGAGGGGCAGGGGCTTGGCTGGGCTGCGGGGTCTCCAGACGCTGGGAAGTGCGTGGGGAACATGGGCACCCTGCCATGGAGGGTCCCGCTCGGCACCAGGACCAGGCGGCAGGTAAGAGAGAGCCGAGATCCTGCCTCAGCAGCTGGTGAGCACTCATGAACTGCTCTTGGGGTACCTTTTCTCTACATCCCCCGCCCCTTTCCCCAGCTGAGCTGTCCCCATCAGTGTTGTGGCGGTGGTCCCCATGGAGCCCTTGCTGTGGTGCGACCAGTCCTGACGTTGCAGGATGAAGCCCAGGTTTC